TTGATAGCTATGAATGCAAGTTTATTTTCACAATTGAAGATATCTTGGCTATTATTTCACGATGAAAATTTTCGTAGTTAATAAATGCAAGTCCAGTTTTGAATACAGGACAACAGAATTTTGTTTATACCTTTCTCTTACACATCTGTGACACCTAGATCCACCATAGGCTCTGGTCACAGACTTCAGACGCTTGGACATAGACATGAGCTCCTTGGGTCTGGCTGGGGTAATCTGTAGCGAGTGTGATTGAACATGGGTTATAAATCAACATATCACCAATACGAAAATCATTTTATCATCCATGATCTCAGAACTATTCCAAATAATATAGCACACAGGGGACAGTACTTGCAATTTACAATTGTCATAAATAGTGCAGTGGGTCCAAAGAAAAAACCAATTCTACCATTTCTGGTTGGTTGGGTCACTATATTGAATAGCGTACATATCTATTTCTGGAACAGCTTTTAAACAGGACATATAATACAGATCCCCCCCCCCCCATATTTGGAGACATTTCTACCAGCTATATTTATTACTTAGAATAAAATTCTTGAACATTTTAAGTTTTTGTACACTTCACAAACAGTTTTGCATGGATTACGGAATAGATGACAAGACAGATTTTGGTTTTGTTGTTATGTTCATATAGGAATCTTGGAAATTCATGTTTTTCTTTCCTAGTTCTGTACTTTTAAAAGATAAAGAAATGGCTACCAAGCATGGAAAGAATTGAAATTTTGAAACAACTGGCATATTCAGAAGCTGTAGACTTACTTTGCATACCTTGGTACTAATAATGAAGTTATTACCATCATACTCTTGTTTGTTCATAAAACATAACTTTGTGTTCCCCATCTCATTTGCTTTGTATAGCATTTTGTACAGAATAAATTGCCACTGAAAAGAACTACATGTACTAATTCTACTTGCAACTCCTGAAATCAACATGCAACATGTGAGTACTAGGGACTACTGCATTCATTTATTTATCTGTGTCAAAAAAAAAAATCAGTAACAAAACACTCACCCCATGTAACTTGATCTTGCAATCACCACATTTTGGGATGCTTCCAAGCTTCTTTGTGTATAAGTATACCAGCTTACCACCTGTAATTTAGATTATCATCATATATATTATTCAATTTCTGAAACGTTGTATTCTTCACTAGTCATTTAGCAGGGGTTTGCAATTCCACAAGCCATTAGCCAAGATTTCCCCTCAAAAATTTGTCCGTGGGTTAGTCCTTTTACACCTGTTTATATGTACCTTTAATACAATTTTACATCTTTTCACAATCATTATGATAACAATAGTCAGTGTATTTTCAAATGGTCTATTAGGCCAAATAAAAATATAGCTGTGTCTCCTGGTTCCTGACCGACCCTATTTTTTCCTGCCAATCCCAAAACATTTGATTAGTTTCTCAAAATGACGTTTTTACATGTATATATATATTCTCCATTTCCAAAACTGGAAATAAATAAACAAGAGGCCCATGGGCCTTAATGGTCACCTGATATATTTATACAGAGAGTTGATTTTGATTTGAACATGAATAAAAATATTATTCAAAGTGACAAAAATCAATAAAACCACCTTATTAAATATCTAGCTTACAAATTTAAGACCAAAAAGTATTTGAAACTAGCACCTCTGATTCTAAACCAGGAAAATAAAGAACTTTTAGCACACTGACGCCTTTGGGCCCCACCCTCCAGCCCTTGGGGGTAGGGCTGGCTCAAAATTTTCAAAGTATCAAACTGTCAACTCAGGGTTATAATTCCAATCAAGCTATTAACATGTAATATTCAAAGTATCATTTGCCATTATAAACCATAATAAATTGAAATTCACAATTTTGGTAAAGCACCTTAAGACCCTTCCCTCTATGAAGAGTATTTGATTCTACCATATCTAGGTCTTGAGAAGAAGATTTTTGAAATTTTAGTCAATTTGACCTGGGGGCTGGGGACCAAACCGGCCACTATTTTTGTTGACCTTTGGCCATGGAAGGTTTCTGCAAAATTTCATTGAAATTGGTTCAAGGGTTTTGGAGAAGTCGAAAATGTAAATTGTTTACGGACGCACGAAGACGGACAAAAGGCGATCGCAATAGGTCACTTGAGACTTTGTCTCAGGTGACCTGAAAATTAAATGGATATGCTTTAGTGTGAAACACTAAAAATATAATGAAACAAACAAAAATTTAACAAAAGTTCATGAAAACCTAACCTATTTGTAGTTTTATTATAAAATTTGAGTACAGACACTCAATAATAGTCCATTTATAAAACGATCTTTTTATCTTCAATTTAATAGCATCATAAGTTGTGTCAACTCAATATCTAAATGCAACATGCATAAGTTTAATTCAAAAAGTTGATTTTATACTATGAGGCCTGCCTTACTTACCAGGAGTCTTTGATCTGTTTTGCGTCATCAGATGAAATAGAAATAATACAAATGACATTATTATTTTCAACATGTTTAAATATAAGTTCTCTTTAAAAAAAAAAAAATTGTATTGTCAGACAGGAAAAGGGTATTCATTCATTCATCACAGTATTCATTTACCAGATAGGGAAGCTTTTCTTTTGGATCCAGTCTCATCAACAAGGGTTTGTTCCAATGCTGATCAATCAGCAACAAATGCATTTTACAGATAAGCACCAAAGAAAATTAAGACTTAAAAGTTCTGGATTTCAAGCTTAAAACAAAACAAAAAGTTTTCAAACATACACAGCATAATGCTTATTAGCTGCAATAACGTAGCAATCGACAACGAGTGATTTTTTTTTATATATTGCTTCGTCAGAGCTACGAAGCGGTCCTATGCCAACTAATGGAGCAAAATCGAAAGTGGTAATCTGTAAGATTACATATAATTCATGCTTCATATGAGTAAAATGTTATCAAAATATTGCACAATTGTTGAAAAAAAACACCTCTTTCACGAAAGTCTGTCTTGGGGAGGGGGGGGATAGGAATGACTGCATTGACAGATCACTTGTGTTTTTATATCAATTATCTGTTTCTATATAAATGCATGGCAAAATATAGTATTACTACTGATGCCGTCATGGTTTACTAAAATTTCCATATTGGGTTATGACATCCATATAAAGATATCTGACCTATATCGGAAGACGGACAAAGTTTCCAACATGGCAGTCAATTCTGATTTCGATTCCCCTTGCTACATTAACTTGATAATTTTACAACATTTTAGGCAGAGCTTAACTTCAAGTTATATAGGATATCAAAAGAAATAGTTCATATTACAAACCTATTTATGGATGTGGACCAATGTGCCGACAATTTATTCTAAAATTGATCCGGTTCGATTAGCACCGGGCTTGCTCCATTACAAGGCATGGGATCGGTTTAATACTGGCCGGGGCAGAGGAGGCTGGGTATACAATGATCATTTAATAGTAAACTATCCAGATAGAACACTCCGATATTAAATGACCAAGGCAGAGAAAACATTTAAAATGAAACTTACACTCTCCTGCGGTTGCTGTTGGTGTTGTAAGACAAACGCCGGCGAAATGTAAGTCGTTGAACCATCTGCAATGAAAAATGTCAAATGTCTTTAAAAGGGTGCAAGGGTGTTAATGTAGGAGGAAATGTTAATAGCCTGAGAACACCTTACTGAAAGATGTGTGCTGTTGACTGCCCCACAAAGCCACCCTGTTAAGTTAAATAACAACATTTCGTAGAGCATTATCTCACGAACATTCCTGGCAAGTTTCAAAATTCAAACTGCCTTATCCTTTCCATTCAGATCAGATGAATGTGTAGTCAAAACATGTCTGTCCTTCAAACAGTATTGCTGTCATGCTGACAATTGCTGATATGCTGATGACAAGCATGCAATGGCACATTGCACCAACGAAAATGTGTATACACAGGTACACATACTCTAACAGAGGTTTACAAGACGAGATACATTGGGTAGCAACAGTTGGGAACCAATATTTTTTCATATCTTTTCCTTATTTCTGTTCTTGAATCTCGATATGAATTTAAGCTTTGTAACTCCTTCCTCCTAATCAACAACATACTGTCATGATGACTGGTTTGGCATACTATGCATACTCAATGAACAGGTGCTGGGGTTCTGGAATATATGCGATATATTTAGGTATACGTATCGAACATCACTATGATAATAAATGATTGGGTTCTAGAACATATATAACATTATCTGTTTATGTATCGCACCCATACCTTTGTGATTATACTATGGTATAACAACATTTGGTAGAGTATTATCTCAGCAACATTTTACCAATAAAGCATACCTTTATGATTCATTAGCATAAAGGGGTGCGATATCTAGTGGAGTGCTATACATTAACAGATAATGTTTTATATATTCTACTTCTAGAACCCAATATGATCACAGTGGTGTTCGATACCTCAATATATCACATATATTCCAGAACCTAAGCACCTGTGATATTATCCAACAATGATAAAGCAATTGATGATTTCTGAGAAGACGGTATGCTAGGTAAGAATTTTATTCCATGATTCAGTGTCATGGAAATATTCGTTTTCAAGACCTTAACGACTGTCCATGCGCAATTAAAACGATTATTCATTAAAGAGTCCAAATCAAGATAGGGAAAAAGATACATTTATGTTCTTTTCCAAATTACTTCTCAATGATAAAATGGTAAGCATACATTTTCACCGTCAAAACATCTCAAGTTTCTCTTCGCATATTTTGTTTACATCGACAGTGGATATATCATTTGTTGAAAAAAACGCATGATATCCATATAATTGAAAAATAACGCTTCATGGAGTTTCTAATAAGCATGTTTTGTTTAGATCTTGTGTTAACAATATCAAATATTAACCATCAATGGACGGATGGGGGCGATTTATTTATAACATATATTCACGCTCATCGCACCTTGATGGTGGCCGGAAGAAAGGACGACCGGAAGCGTTCGGATTATTTTTACTCGGGTACTCTCTGCAGTTTACTACATGGCTCTGTTTAGTACTTGAAAATGACAGAATGGCGTCGTTGATAGAATCATATGAGCAGCAATATTCCAATTTGACAGCTGACATAACGTACAATATCAGTAAAATATCGAACACACATGGAGGTAAGTAGATCTTCGTAAGAACTTAAGTTTTATTGTGGAGTTTACATAATGTGATTGGCGAACATTTTACTAAACATGTTCACGACACAGTATTCACTGCAGTATTTAAGCAAATATAACTGAAGCTTTCATGCAGTGCGAAGTAAAATGGCCTCAATCGCTCTTAAAAGGCATAAAAAATAGTCAGATCAATATGGAGTATGGTTGTATCATTAAGGACCTTCATACGCAAGGTGACAAAGTCTCACATTATGACAAAATCTTTAATTTAAACTTGTTGAATGTGGTCATAATCATTATCCATTAGAACTGAAACTTCAATTATTATTAATTTAACAGGTAAGAGAAAAGATCAAACATACATATTAATAATGATGCCAAGATCCTTTAAGGATCTTTTGTTTATGCACTATTCCCTTAAGTATATATGACTATATTATTAAATATGGAAATATGTATCCAGAATCGACCTAGTGTTGGCCCCAGCCTACATAATTCTGATTGTATACTCTGTAAGACTATAGAATCAAGTTGATAACCTTGAATATATACTTTATTTTCAGCTGAGAAGCAAAAATACATCAGACAGGTTGACAAACTTTTCGATGAGGTGTCAGAACTGGTAAGCTTTCTTAAATGAATTTTCATGAATTCAGACCAGTGATGTATTAAACTATACTAAAGAGAATAAAGATTACTTAGTTTAAAGTGAGTTTAACGATAAAAAACACTTTAGATAATGTGCCATAAAACTTTAATTGCACTTGCACCTTAATTACAGTGTGTGAAAGCAGATTTGATTCAAGTTGGAAACAATGATAAAATAATTTTGTGGATAATACAGATTCCACAAGTCATAAAGTATCTCTCCTATGTAAACTGTAAGCTTACTTATGTAAGTGACGAAAATTTAAGTGGAACAGAGATGAAAATAGTTGTCATGTACTATCCAGTGTATCTTGTAATTTATGTTATGGATAGGCTGTACTAAGCATGATCTAATTTTCAAAGTGGACATGAATTAGTGGATGATACAAAGTGAGAGAATATCGCACATTTCTGTAAAAAAAAAAAAGTTGCGATTCTACATTTTCCAAAATATATCAAGAAACTCTGATATTTCTTTCATGTCAGACAAGTTTATTCCTTATACCGGTATTCATATCTATGGTGTTTGATTTATAATTCGACAACCCTTCACCTTTCTTAGGTAAAGATAGAATCAGATAAACTGTTAATTGCTGTGTAAATGTAAGGAAAGGATACTTCTTTTAAAGATATATATATATACATTCCTTTACATACAGTTTTATGCATTAAGTATTTTTCATACACTGGTATCTAAAATGGGTAATACAGAGACTGTCAGTAATCCGTGATGATTGGGTTTCTATTTTAGTTGGAACAAATGGAGCTGGAGGTAAAGGATTTGCCATCAAGAGATAAACAAAAATATCAGACTCGTGTCAAAAGTTACAAGACAGAGCTTGGAAAACTACAGACAGACACAGTAAGTTAAATCTTGAGATCATTTCTACTATTGTGCTCTTATAATTAACACAGCCTTTAGCAGAGGAACTGTAGCTATCACCAATCTTCTTCAATGGGTGCCTTAAAGTACATATGCAAATAAAAAGCTGGAATAAATTCTTACAGGTAACCTTCTAAAACACACAAAAGTGGTATCCTGATCACAGTCTGCATCTTATCAATAAATTCTTACAGGTAACCTTTTTAACCAGACACAAAAGTGGTATCCTGATCACAGTCTGCATCTTATCCATAAATTCTTACAGGTAACCTTCTAAACCAGACACAAAAGTGGTATCCTGATCACAGTCTGCATCTTATCAATAAGTTGTTTTTATTGAAGTAATATAATGGGTTACCTGCCTCCGACGTAGTGAAAGGTACCATGTGGTGTTCTAGTGTCCACTGTAGACAAACCTAGACCATTCAGATGTGTTAAACAATATGTATATTATTGTGTCCTATTTACAGCGGCGAGCCAAACTCGGTATAGACAGCAGTAGAGATGAACTCCTCGGAGATGATACACATGAGTCAGAAGATCAGGTTTGTAACATGGCTTAATGGTTGATGGGTGGTGTGGTCATTGACGATGAAGATAGGAAAGATTAGAAACATAAGGAAATGTTTTTTGCTGTATTTGCTGTACTTCAATTTTTTTTATTTTTGTATCTTGTTAGAACTTTTGTATGTATCATTTAGCTTTGTTTCCTCAATGTAATGATAGGAATGATAAAAAAGTCCTTGCTGTGCTACTTGCAAAATGCTGCCATGGGTCAAAGGTCAGATGTCATCAGATACTTATAGCCATTGAAGCAATGTGTGAACACAGAACTAGCCCACATCCTTTCATCAAAGGAAAGTGTGCCTATATAGGACACATACATCAAGAAATCCCATCAGCAATATAGAGGCTGGATTTATTACTGGGCACCAACCCTATGCATGGAAACTTATTGGAAAGTAAGCGAAAATGGGTGATGGGCTTATAACAAGACATGGGGTTATCATCAATTAAATAGAGTAAAATGATTTACCATAACTAAGCCCTTACACAGATTAACCTGTCACCTCGTACTCCTCACAGAGGAAAAGACTCCTGGACAACACAGATGCCCTGGACCGTACCTCTCGACGCTTAGATCATGGCTACAGAATCGCTCTGGAAACTGGTATGTATATTTTTCATGATAAAATGTTTTCTTGTTTGGTCTTGTTCAACAATTGCAATGCTGTTATAAAATATATTCTAACGATAGATATGATGAAAATGTTTTCACTACATCATATTTCAATATATGGGCAGATATTTGGTTTTGTGAATGATCTGCCATTTGATAAATTGTATTTGACAAAAAAAGCATCTGATAAATGGATTTGTAAATTAACCTAAAACACCAAATAAATAGAGGATATTCTTGGTTACTTGATGAAACAGTTATATTTCATGCATCGGTGAATATTTGATTTCTTTTTAGAGCATGACCTGTATAAAAAAAAGGGGTAAATATTCAAACCACAAGTGAAACATAAATTCTTTTATCAAACAACAAAGAATATGGACAGATATCCATTTCCTGCCAAAAATGTTGAGACAAGAAAATCTGTACTGAAATTTCACATTATAGGAAAACATGAGCAGGGCATTAATGACATCCCAGTTAGCACTGTCCAGTGTTGCTTTATTTTTCAATCTTAACCCTTCTCTCTGATTGAGGGTACAGCATGTAAATAAACACTTTTATCTGTCACAAAAGAAAAATGTCTATTTTGTTTTCACTGTAAGACATCATATTCCAGGCAGGGTATTGTGTAATTATGTTACCATGTCTTATATTTCGACCTCTTCTAGCAGTATAACTATCCCCATGTGTACAGCTCAAGTTATTGTCTGATGTGAGAGGGGAGGACACCAACTGTAACATTGGGTGCCTTTCTTTGATGCCTATAAACTAATGGGGCTATGGATTGTGAAGCTGTATTTACCATGTTTAAATTATAATGAACTCAGCTATGATTTATGTAACTGTAAGTAAAAATAGTCTGAGGAACTCTAATAGTTTATGTATGAGTGGAACATAACAACTGTGGGTCTAGGGGATATAATTTCTTTGTACAGTACAAACATGGTGATTTTTGTTTTCAGAGGAAATGGGTGCCCAGGTTTTACAGGACCTAAGTGGCCAAAGGCAGACAATACAACGGTCAAGAAATAGGGTCAGTATCCCATTTTACTGTATATGGTCGTATGTAATTTGTTTAAGTTAACCTAAATCTGTCAACATTTGAGGTCACCAGAGACAAAGTCTCAGTTGACCTAATGTGATAGCCTTTATACCATCACCGTTGCTGTGTCTTACTTCATACATCTGCAAAAATACATTTTTAATTTCTTCTTCAAAACTACTGTTCAAATTTATTCAAATTTTAAAGGAATTAAGTTTTCTTGACTTAAGATACACCAAACGTGTATCAAACACCCAAGGGAATGGGGCCACAAAATGGTCAGATTGAATTAAATTTCCTGTCTTCTCCAGAACTAGTTTTGCTCAAATCAAATAATCTTCATTGATGGAAAGGTCCTAATTAAGGTGCTCTATCAAAATACAAAATTGTACTACCCTGGGTGACTAATTACCCTTGGGGAGAGGGTAAATTTTAATGTTATTTATATTTGGTAACAATACTTGGTAAGTTGGTATACATGTATTTTGTTTACTTTCATTTTTTTTTATGTTGACCTACTTTGAAAATGTGGGGCATATGTTCCAATAAGGAACATTGCATAACAGTTGAGAAATACACATTCATTCCATTATTTGTTCAAAAAGCGATTTGGAAATTAAAATTTTAATTTACGGTATGGTATCAGAATATATAGTCAGTAAATTTGATTTTTGACTTTGGTATCATCACATCTCTAACCTGTTACACAGTAATTAACTAGGCCATATTTCATGTATTACTGATACTACCTTTTGTAAGGACGGTGGAGACATTACACATTTGATATTGAGATGGCATTTTTATGACGTGATGATTGTCACAGAAAAAATGTATTTAGTGAATAAAAGCATACATCATGATAATCTTTATAATATATATTCATTCATTTCTTATGAGATATATTTGATTGTAAATGGCTCACTAACTTAAAACTGAAAGACTTGGTTTATAAATCCTCCACATTTGAGATCCTATTTCCTGCACAGTATCTACTATGAATTAAGAGTTGTAAGGAATGTCTTATTTCCTTAGGAAATATCAATCATTGTGCTTTGTTTACAGCTTGAAGAAATGAATAGCGGTCTTGGGAAAAGTTCTCGTGTATTATCAGGGATGATGAGACGGTAAGCAATCTCAAGAAATTAATGCAACACCATTCTTTTTCCCTACTGTATATTAAGTCTCCCCCCTCCCTCAACAATCCCCCCACACACCCCCACACACCCCTTACACACTCCTCTCTCTCTCCCTCAACCCAAACACTCCTCCCTCTCCCTCCATCCCTAATACTCCCAAACCCCTAACATTCCTCCCTCTCCCCCAACCGTAACACTCCTCCATCTCCCCCACCCCTAACACTTCTCCCTCTCCCTCCAACCTGGTCCGAATTATTCTGACGTTTTATCGACGTTTTTCATATCGGTCCGTCGTCGTTTAACTCCGGCCCTCTATAATGTGCAGGAAATATGCGTCCCGCGCCCGGGGCGCACTTCAAACTGATATTTTAGAAACAAATCGTCACTTTCACACACATGTCGCACATGGATCGAAAGATCTATTCTTTATGCACAAGATAAACATACATAAATAACATTCCTCAAACAACCAATACAATCACTAAAAACATATTTTTTCAAGCTTACTCTGTTTTACTTCTAATGCCACATGACTAAAATCTAGCCAGCCTACGTCATAACGTTGTGAGAACCTTCGGTAACGCGAGATATGTTAAGTCATGTGACATTGCTCATGGCCTAATTTCCATTAAAAACATGGGTTGGTGTAGAAAACGTTGGAAAATAATTTTCGTAATGATCTTTGAAACATGTTATTGATACCACATAGTGCATAAAGAATAGATCTTTCGATCCATGTGCGACATGTGTGTGAAAGTGACGATTTGTTTCTAAAATATCAGTTTGAAGTGCGCTCCGGGCGTGGTTCGCATATTTCCCGCATATTGTAGAGGGCCGGAGTTCTGACATTAATCAACGACAGACTGATATGAAAAAAGTCGATAAAAAGTCGGAATAATTCGGACTACCCTCCCCTTAACTCTCCTCCCTTCCCCTCTTCCGTCAAACTCTCTCCTCTTTCCCACTCCTAACATTCCTCCCTCTCCCCCCACTCCTAACATTCCTCCCTCTCCCCCTACTCCTA